GGCGCCCGGAGAAGCGGCCAGCGCAGCGCTTGGGCGCACCCAGTGACACCAGCACGTCGGGCCGCAGGCCGTCCTCGGAGTCTTCGCCGGTCTCCGCATCCCAGCCTGAGGGAGGTGGGGAGGGAGGGGAGGTCAGGAGCTGGGAAGGGCGCTCACCCTCAGAGGAGAGTCCCAGCTTCTGCTTTCTGACAGTGCCTTGATCAGACCTGCCTCCCCAAAGAACGGAGCCTCCACCCTCAGACCAGTCTCCTTCCCTCCTTGGAGATGTTTTCCCTCCCCCTCTGGCCAGAGCCCTCATACTTTTCTGCCTCTCCTCCCACCCTGCTACCCAATCGTCCTCCTCCATCTGATTCAGCCTCTGCCTGCAGACTGCATCATTTCCACCTGCTGCCCTTTCCTGGTCAGACCGGTGCGTCTATCCCCACACCTCCGTTCCTACCAATCCTGAGCTTCCCCGCTTAGACTAGAACCTCTTTCCACCCGGACTTCCCAGGCAGCCTCCACTCTCTGACCAGATCCCCACTCAAAGGACAGACTTTCCTCCATCCACAAGCAAGCCTCTCCTATGTGACCTCCTTGCCCCAGGTTCTTGCCTCTGACAGGAAGTGCCTCCTTCCCCACCCAACTTGAGCACTGATCCTCCTCCCTCTGCCCAGTACTCCTCCCTCTGATCTGACACCCCTGCCTCACCCTCATGCTGTATCTTGCCTTTTTACTTGGCAAGACCACACCACCTCACTCATTGGTTCACAGCCTCTGCCACCTCTGAAATGACCCTCCACCTTCAGACTAGGAGCTTTGCCTCCTCTCCTGCCTCTGACTGGAGTCTGGAACCATTAACTAAAAGCCTCTCCCCTCTGACTTTAATCTTTCCTTCTATGATCCTAGCCTCCACCCTCATACCAGACAGCCCACCTCCTCATAGCCACCCCACCCCACCCCTGCTCTTCAGCACCCTGCTGAGATGGCCCTGAGGTCTTGCAAGCCAGGGGATGTCCCTCTGAGTTTGGCCACCCCCTGTGAAGGGTCCGGCTGGCCAGCGGCTGTTTGTTCCGTCTGCCCGTGGCCTAATGGCTCCAACAGGCATAGGGCGGCGGCCAGGACGGGCGAGGCCTTTGCTGAGTGAGCTCACGTCTGCCTGGTGACTGGGCCAGGGTGGGCATTGGGCACATTGGGCTGAGCGTGGTGGGGAGAGGATGCAGGATCACCTGGGCAACAACCTCAGGGTCCCCATCTGAGGGATGGACATGGCCCTCTGCCATACCCAGGGTGCACAATCCATCCCCAAGGAAACTGAGGCTCAGAGTAGGCAGACAAACTGGGTAACAAAAGCTGGAGAACAGGGGCCCCCAGGTCTCCCAGGCCCTGACGCACCCCCCTCCACCTGGCATGCCTGAGGGAATGTCCAGGCTCACAAGGGGGATGGACAGCAGCTTGAGTGTGGCCAGCGCACGCGTGCAGGGGCCCCCGACCTCACGGGGCTCCACGCCAGGGCCCAGCACAGCATCCACCACCAGCCCGTAGGCATCATTGATGAGCTGGACCTGGGAGGGAAGGCAAGGTGAGGGGCAGCCTTGGGGCACCATCCCCCACCTGCCCCTTATTGTCAAGGAGTGCTGACCTCTGTGGGCAGATAGGACAGGAAGGGGATGTCCATCTTCTCACACTGGGTGGTCAGGTCCTGGTGCAGCGGGTCCAGTGAACGTGTGGGGTAGAAGATGGTTGGTTCATACTCCTGGGGGGGGGGAGGGGGCAGGAAAGGGTCAGTGTGGGGGCTGCCCAAGCTTTTACGGGCTCTGCCAAGCCTCCAGACCTGGTACCAGGCAGCAGCACCTGGGGCAAGCACTGGGCTTATTCTGTAACTTGTCCAGTCTCAATGTTCCCCTGGAACACTACCAAGAGGAGGAAGTGACTTCTGCAGGGACAGAATGGGGAGTGACCCTGGGACACCAAGGGGGTCCTTGCTACTCACAAACACCCGCAGGTGCCGGGCACAGACCAGCCCTACCGCCCCATTCTGCTCCGGTCCGCACACAACCAGCACCGTCTTCTGCTTCCGGGAGAGAGCAGGCAAGGGGAACACCTGGTAGGGGGCACAGCAAAGGCAAAGGGCTGAGTGTGGTGGGGAGGGGATGCAGGATCACTCATTGCAGGGGCACGTAGCTTGGAATCCCTCCTTGATCAGGTGGGGAAATTGAGGCCCCGGGGAGAGGAAGGGACGGGGCTTGGGAGCAATATGGGTGAGGGGCTGGGCCACTTGGGGCCTCAGTTTCCTCCTTGGAGATGCAGAGGATCTGCCCTCAGGATCTGCCAAGCCAGAACAGGAAAGCATGTCTCCAGCCACCATTGAGAGCCCGAGAGCCTGGACTGTGGTTTGTTTATTCTCGGCCTGAGTTGCAGACATTCTTCCACCTTTTTCCACTGCAGTGGCTTCCTCTCCCCCACCCATTTTCCAGGCCCTCCCAGAGGCCCCATAGTTGGTGGGGAGGTACTTTTCCAACCTGCCATGCCCTGTCTCTCTCCCCCTGTCTCCTTCCACTGGCCTATCTTCACCTCCCTGTCTCTCAGTATCTCTCAGACTCTCTCCGTGTCGCTCTGTCTAGTCTCTTTCTGTCTTTCTCCTTGTCTCAGTCTGTCTGTCTGTCTGTCTGTCTGTCTGTCTCTCTCTCTCTCTCAGACTCTGTCTTTGTGGGCCTGTGCATCCCTCTCTCTTTCTCTCTTTAATAGAGCAGTTAAGCATGCTGGTGGTAGAGTCCCAGCCTACCTTGACTCTGTCATCGGCCCCCTCTCCTCTCCCAGCCTCGGTTTGCCTCTATTATATAGAAGCTCTGACAGTCTCATGGGGCCTCTCCCTGACTCCACCGGGCCTGGCCATACTCTAACCTTCAACCACACAGAGGGGAAATTATTCCATGTTTTACTCTCCTCCCCAAGGTCTGAGGTCCTGACTGACACTGACCAGGCCTGCAACCCATAACACCAGAGTCAGGGAGGGTGACACTGGCTGGCTGGCTGAGACCAAGGGGCTTCTGGATGTACTTGGGGCTTTCAGGGCAAAAATGAGACGAGTTTACTACACTGGCTTTGCTTCTGTGGCTTAGATTTTCTCCATTTCTTTCTCTTTTGGGCACCTCACTCAGGATATGTTTCATTTGGAAATAAAAACATTTAAGTAAAAAAAAAATTGAGTTCACATAGAGAAAAATATTGAGTTTTTAAAAAGTATACAGTGGTAATAAGAAGAGAAAAAGGGGAGGAAGAGGAGAAGAAGGATTATATACTGGAGCCCTGACTATTGGGCATTTTTCTAAGGAGTTTGTTTATTAACTGGTGTCAGTTTATTATTCTTGTTCAGAGGTAACTTGCGGCAAAGCACCGGATACTAGTATTATCGTTGCTATAATTTGCCAGTTCGTTGCAGACACCTCAAGTGTTTGCCCCAGAGCCAGACACAGCTATGCTTCCCAATCCCTGGGCCATGGGGGTCATGCAGCTAGATCTTGGCTCTGGTAGGCTGGCCATCCGGCTGGGGTCAAGGTCAAGGGGCAGGGGTTAGGTACCTTGGTCACAGCCACAGCACTAGCATGGCCACATAACTCCACCAGCTGCTGCCGCCCAAAACGATAATCCTCCAGCAGCTCCCGTTCCAGAGCAGCTGCCTCCTCCGTGCTGTGGGACAGAGTTGGGAGAGACGCTTAGAGACACAGAGAGATGGAGGCAGAGGCTCAGATGGAGTCAGAAATGTCCCACCAATGTCCCGAGCCAGTCTCTGATGCCCCCCTCCCCCAACCCCAATCTGTTTCCCCATCCGATGCGCAAGCGATTGAATGGAACCGGGCAGGCAGCTGGAGGTTTGAACCGAAGCCTGGTGCGCCGGCGCCCTCTGGTGGGCGAGGAAGCACGTGGTGGCGCATGTTGGTTCTGTTCTTCCTACGCGCCGAAGACTGAGTCCCACCCAGAGGCCCCCAGCCCCCAAGGTGGGAGGAACCCAGGAGGAGGCATGGAGCCTGAAGGACTGTGATGGGGGCGATGGGTGGATTTCAAGCAGAGGAAGTCACTGACTGAGCTCCAGGACACTGGAGGGTACTGACTGGACTGGGAGCGGGGGACGGGGGACTGAGGGAGGTGTGTGAAGGCTGCAGAGGCGTTTGACAGCTCACTTAGGGAGGTGGGATGTGACCCTCTTCAAAGATAGTTGTAAAACTCAAATAATTGTGCCTAGGGAGATGGAGCCAACTCGCTTGAGACAAAACTCTACTACGGAGTTGGCTTGCTGGAGTGACTGGGGTCTATTTCATCTTTCCAAGCCTTGCTTCCTCTGCAAAAGTGAAGGTGGGATGGGCTCGATTAATTTTGAGGGCCAATTCAAAATGCAAATGTGGGGCCCCTTGTTCAAAATTAAGAATTTCAAGATGGTGATGGCAGAGTGTTAAACCAAGTGTTGGGCACTTCTAACAGCAGGGACCAAAGTGGCTGGCCCTTGCTTAAGGGCCTTCCAAAGGGCCTGGACTTGGTGGTGGCAGAGAGGGAGAGCTGGCTTTGAAGACCAGGTGTTCCTCACTCCAGAATCGGGTTGGGCAGCTGGCAGGACCTTCCTGCTGGGGAGTAGCATCTACCCCCAATTCAGCACACCCTAGAGAGGGTAATAATAACAATAATAGAACTAGGGCCCTGCCGGGTTTGGCTCAGTGGATAGAGCCTCGGCCTGTGGACAGAAGGGTCCCAGGTTCGATTCCAGTCAAGGGCACATGTCCCAGTTGCAGGCTCAGTCCCCAGTAGGGGGCATGCAGGAGGCAGTCAATCAATGATTCTCTCTCATCATTGATGTTCCAAACTCTCTCTCCCTCTCTGAAATCAATAAAAACATATCTAAAAAAATAAGAAAAATAAAAAGCACATGCAATTAAAATAATAATAATAATAATAGCGATAGAACTAGGCCCAGAGAGTTGGAAAAACAACTCAGAGAAGCCAAGTGGGTGGCCCAGGGTCATGCCAGAAGAGTGGGGAAACAGACTTCCACCTTTGGTGTCTGTCTTCAGAGCCACAGAGTATGAACAAAGCAGCAGCAGAAGATCTACACATGGGGCAGAAGTTTGGGATGAATCCTAGATTTCCTCCTTCAGTTCCATGAGTAGGAAAACCACAACCTTCCAGCCAATTTTGCAGTGTGATTAGGCCAAGCAGCAGGAGGGGGAGAGGTGGGAAATGAGGACTGCTGTGGGATGGGGAGTCAGGGAAGGCTTCCTGGAGGAGCTGGCCTGGTGCACGATGGTAGATAATTCAGGTGGCAAGAACAGCAAGGGCCAAGGCCTGTTGGTGGAAGAGCTTGGCAGGTTCGAGGGACAGAAGAGAGACCAGTGTGGCTGGAGCAGTGAGAGAAACAGAATACATACTTTGGGGGCCCACGTAGATGGGGGAGATGAAGGCTGAGGGCAGGGAGGTCACAATCCCTGAGATGGCAGCAGAGTCAGATTCAACCCCTAACTTGTCTTCAGCCAATGTCAGATGAGGTTGAAGTACCAGGTGGGAAAAGGAGCTCACGGTGGGGCTAAATAAGAGCAAACCCATCCCTCCCCCATCCCTAGCATGGAAGGCCAGCCCAGCTCCTGGGAAGGGTGTTTGGGAACGTGGCTTATTTCTCCACCTTCATCTTGTGACAGCTCTGCCTGCAGCCCTCACAGGAGAGTGGGAGAGTAGGATGAGAAGGGTGGAGGATCACCCATTCCTCTTCTTCCTCTGTCCCAAAGCTTTGATCTCATCACCACTTGGAAAATTATCTTCCTGGCTCACCGGTCATTAGAGTGATAATGGGGAGTCCATAGGAAGAGGGTGGTCTAGGCTAGGATCCTGAGGTGGAGGCTATGGGTAGGGTATGAGTGGGAATCAGGGCAGAGCCATGTGGGGCCAAGGGCAGGGGGAGGCACCTCAGTTATGAGAGTTCCTCTTGTCCCCCCAGCCTACCCGCCAGATGAGAAGGGCTTCGAGGTCCAGGATTTCCCCGCCAGCCCCAGAAGGGCTGAGGTGACCTGGTTTCAAAGGGAACTTCCAAAATGCTTCCAGAAGGGGGCTCTTTTGTTTCTTGTTTTTAAAAACATTGGTTTCTTTCTTTCTTTTAATATATTTTATTGATTTCAGAGAGGAAGGAAGGAGAGAGAGAAACATCAATGATGAGAATCATTGATCGGCTGCCTCCTATACCCACCACACTGGGAATGGAACTGTGACCTCTGGGTTCATAGGTTGATGCTCAATCACTGAGCCATGCCAGCCAGGCTGGAGGGGTCTCTTTTGGAGGTGAAGCCACGAGGCCAGGATGACCATGCCAGATCCTCCCTGTGCTCTCGGCTCCGTCTGCTTCTCTCCACCCTCATGTCTCTTCTCACCAGCCTGCCACTACTGCCCACCAGGCTGCCAACAGCAGTCTCATGCCCCCCCCCCCCAACTCCACACCACCTAAGACGGGGGCTTTGAAAATTTGAATGCCAGATCATATCATGCCGTTGCAAACCTTAAGGCTCCCCAGTATTCAGAGAATATTTAAATTCCTCATCATACCTACATGCCCCCCATTATGTCTCTAAACTCATTGCCTCCTCTCCCCTAGTTCATTAGGTTCTACTCCCACCCACCCCACAGAGCCCCACCACTCTTCAATTGGCATTTGAGGTGCTCCACTGTACCCCATGCCAGATGAGGCCATTGCTTGTATCTGGAACATTCATCTCCCCCTGCCTGGGATGTGCTGGGTGTTTCAGCTGAATCTGGATAGCAGCCAGAATCTGGACATCTGACAATGTCTGCCCTGAGAAGAGAAACTGATCAGACAGTGGGCAGACTTCTGTGAGATGAATCTGGCTTTCTCCAGCCCTGCTTGGTGTCCCGTCACACAGGATGACTCAGAACAAGGTGTGAGACTGCCATAGTTGCTGGCTCCAGACCCCGGACAAGTGGCCCAGGTGTTCAAAAATCGCCCTAGCCTTGGCTCAGGCAGTGGCTCCCCTCCCGAGACCTGTTTCCTTGTCTAGACAAGGTGGTAATAGCAGGTGGATCACCATGGGGGGGTGTAAGCATTTGAGGAGCTGAGAGTAAGAGTTGAGATGGGGGCTCCAGGGTACCTGGGAAATGGAAAGGGGAGGTGGGCCCGGGTCGGGTAAAGGGTTATGGAGGAGCGAGTAGCAGTGATGATGAATAATTCATGGAGCGGGTTTGCTGCGACTGTCGTTTCCCTGGCAATGCAGCGTCTAAGGCGGGAAGCGGCCGGCTGTCTGCAGTGAAAGGCAGAGTGGGCCTCAGATTCCCCCGGCCCCCTCCCAGCCATGCTCCTTCCCCATTATCCCCCTTGGCCGTGCCCCTTCCCCACAGAGTCCCGGTATCCCTATCCCCGCTGACCTGAGGAAACGCCGATCCTCGGGCGCCTCCGCCGGGTCTCGGCTGGCCGCACCAATCATGGCCAAGGTGAGCCTGTGCGGGCAGCGGCAGCCGGGCAGGCACCGTTTTTAAAGCCTATCCCTGAGCAGGCCCCGCCCACTCCCACCCGCCAATCAAGAGGCGCGAGAAGGCGCTTTGCTAGGGCACTGGTCGCTGGTCGCAGGCGGATTTAACTCTTTTGTGGCAGAAGCACAGCTGCCGGCGGGATGTAAGGACGCCCAGATGCCCTTACTGGCCAGGAAACGAAGTCTGGAGGGGCAGAGTTGGGTCGTGATGGGTCAGTCACACCTGCTATGGGGTCCTGGCCTGGGAGTAAGGGGACATGCTTCTGCCGCCTGCCCCTGCCATTGCTCCTCTCCAGGCCCCTATCCATCCCTGGAGGGGTGGGCTGCAGTCAAGCAGAATTTCAGCAGAGGTAGGGCAGTCAAGGCATATTTTGGAATCCAGGGCTGGTAGTGGATCCAGGGGCAGCTTATGTGTGTTTTTTAAGGTCACCCAGCTTGGCGTTTTCTGCTGAATTTCCAGGCCTAGTCCCTGAGTCCCCACATGGAGTGTGACCCAGTGGGGCCCCCCCTCCCCCAGTCACTCAGTCCTTGGGACACAGGCAGGCAGGTCTCCAGAACATTTATTCACTCCACGGGCAGGGGGTGAGGTCCAGCGGCACTCCCTACGTGTACCAGACGAAGCCATAGGTGGCGTTGACAATCTCCTCGTTGGTGCGCAGTCCATACAGCTCACCCATTATGGGGGGCACCCAGCGCATTGTGTGGAACACAGACTCGCCCACCTGAGAGGAAAGCAGGTACAGGTGGGGGTACTGGCCACTGTGTCAGAAGCTGCTGCCTTCCTCACCTCAATCCCAGCACCCACTGCCTCTCTCGGCTTCAAAGAGGTTTTCTGTGGAAGGTTGCACTTCTGCAGTGGCCTAGACCCTTGCCCTCCCTACAGGGGACCCACCTTCCAGTTGGGTACATCCTTCATGATGATGGCCTCCTCCTCCAGGTTCTCCCGAAGCATCTGCAGGACCCTGTAAGGATGGAGTGGGAGGTGGGGACAGGCCTGAGTACCCCAAGGGACCCCTGCCTAATGCACCTATCAGATGCCCCCCTTACTCCCCCTCCAATCATCTCCTGCCACTTCCAACCCTGCACACACTGACCTCTTTCTTTCCTTTCCTCTCCCTGGCAAACTTTTTTTAAAATATATTTTTACTAGAGGCCCTATGCACAAAATTCGTGCATGGGTAGGGTCCCTAGGCCTGGCCGGCAATCAGGGCCAATCTGCAGGGCAATCGGGGGGCCCCCGCTGGCACCTGCCTTGGCTGGCCTGGGGCCTGCAGGCTGGGGTCAGCTCCTCCATTGAGTGTCTGCCCCCTGGTGGTCATTGGGCATCAAAGCGACCGGTCATTCCGCCATTCAGTAGATTTGCATATTAGGCTTTTATTATATAGGATTGATTTCAGAGAGGAAGGGAGGAGAGAGAGATGGAAACATCAATGATGAGAGAAATCATCGATCGGCTGCCTCCTGCATGCCCCACACTGGGGATCAAGTCCACAACCTGGGCACATGCCCTGATAGGAAATTGAACCAGTGACCTCCTGGTCGATGCTCAACCACTGAACCACGCCAGCTTGGCTCCCTGGCAAACTCTTACTATTCTCCTGCCCAGCCCCAACACCCCCTTCTTGCAGAAAAGCATTCCCGTTCTCCCCCTTGGTCTCCACTTTGTCTAGGGCCCTCTCCAAGGATGACAGCAGTTTGTGTGCAAGGATGCAGCTGCCAGTCCCCATGTGCATTTTGGCTGTGTCCCCGAACTGCAAGCTGGGGCACTCAGGCCTATGACCTCTGGATCCTGGCGGTCTCACCTTCGGTCCTTCTCTGCCTGCAACAGCGGCATCAGTGCAATGCGGGCCTCAAAGTCCTCGATCTGCAAGCGCCTGTGGAACCCCAAAACCAATACTTGGGTCAGATTAGGGTGGGCAGGGAGGGAGGCAGATGATGTGGCCCCTGGACATTCAGGGTGATGCACGGGGATGGTGGTTGGGGGAGAGGCGAGCAAGCAGGATAGAGCTTGGGCACTAGGCTCCATCCACCAGAAGCCCGAGATCGGGAACCCAGTGAGCGCAGGCGTTGGTCCACAAGACTGCTGGCTTCACATTTTCTTTTCAATTAAAAAACTTTTTTTAAAAATCCTAAAAATAGCCCAAGTCTGTAACTGCAGTGAAGGAAGGAAAGTGTTCATTATGGCGCTCTGGGTCTTACAAAACCATGTCCCCTTCATCTCAAAATAACATTGGGGCATTCTTCTTCCCCCTGCTCTTCAGCATCTTCCAAGCCCCAGCCCTGCCTGTGCTAGGGGGTGGGGAGAGCGAGCCATATTGTGTCCCAGGGAGTAGCCTCTGGCCATATCCCCTCATCACCAGAAATCTTACAGAGGCACAAGGAAGGGGTAGATGAACTTCAACCCCTCTCCTGGCCCCAATCCCCAGGCTACTGCCCCCATCACAGCCACACTGTGGTCACTACTGTGTCCCCCTAGGAGGCTGGGCCTGGTCTTGCCTGTCCAACACAGGGGCCCTAGCATCCAGCACCCATCAGGTGCTCCTGAGTATACTCAATAATGTGGAGCACCCTCCACGAGCTGAGCCTTCTCTAGCACCATCCTCAGAGATTCCTGGCCGAGTGAGGGATGCTAAGGACATATGACAGAGCCCAGCCAGTCAGAGGCTAATGACAAGGAGCCACCTGGCAGGGAATCAGATGAGCTCAGAGGTGACTGGAGTCTGAATTGAGGCCATGGTAGGTCTTGGTCCCTCAGGCCCTGCATGGCTGGCATGGCCACTGTCTTGCATGATCTGCTTTCCATGCCCCCATATCATCATTGCCTGGTTACCATGGACGACCTGGACACCCTCGAGTCCCCAGCGGCAGAGGCTGAAGGGGTGCCTGGTGAACACCTGGAGGCAAGCTCTTTGCTTACTAGTCAATCATTAAAGGTAAAATCCAAAAATGGATTGCTGGGTCCCCAAGACCTGGGGGTTGATGAGGGGCCCCAGTGTATACCAAGTCCACAGGCACATGCCCACCCTCACCTGCACGGTGCCTACCTGCGTTCACGATTCCACTTCATCATGCTCCAGTGCCCAAAGATCATGGCCCCAATGCCCAGCGCGAACATGCTGTAGCCTGTGAGGAGAGGAGCACCAGCTCAGCATCTACATGCTGAACAGGCCACCCTGGTCATTTCTTCTCATGAGGCATATCCACTCGCTATACAAATAACCCCAGAAATACAGACGATGGAGAAGGTGAGAGTGCCCTGACCCCCTCCCGGAGATGGCTCGCATTTCTTCAGACTATTTTTTTCTCTGTGGAATGTCCACTGGCCCGCTTCCTTGGACACCCCCTCTTCCACAGCTGCAGACCACTCTCTATCATGTTTGCCCCTCTGCAGGCAGGGGACACCAAAGAAGCCTCAGCTTCTCTCTCATAGGCAAGACTGTGGCAGCAGCACCACCTCTGCCCCCATGCTGGGGTTTCTGGAAGGTATAGATTGGGCAGGGACTGCAGGAGGACTCAAAGGTCTAGATGTTTATGGTTGGATGGCCCTGGCAGTGCAATCTTCCTGGAGATTGTTTGGTTCCCAGTCAGCCAGCCAGCCCCTCAAAGATGGTTGATGCCCATGGCTGGGTTCCAGCTCCATGGTAGCTCCCAGCTGCCTGGGCCACATCCTTGCATGCTGCTCACAGGGTCTTCCTCGTGAACACAGGTAGGCCCCTGTGCGAGGCTGTCAGAGGCAGGCTGTGCACTTCAGGGGTTGCCACCACCCCCTGGCCTCCTGGGTGCTGCTCCTGGCCCAGCAGGGTAGACACCCACCCCCTGTCCAAACCCAAAGGAACAGGCTGCCATGAATATTTACTGAGCTCCAGCAGGCATCCACTGTAATCCTGACTGACAGGTTGTGGGCCTGCTAGGGTCTTCAGGGAGCCCCAGACACCTGGGGCCTGGCTGGCCCTGCACCCGCTCATCTTTCGAGCATGGTCTCTTCTCTGGCCAAGCCTCCCTGGGCCTCATGGGGAGAAAAGGGGGTGGGGGGGTGTCTTTCTTTTTCACCTCAGTTGGGACATAGCCTCATCAGGCATCTCTGCTGGACCTGGAGATACATGAGAAACTGGCTCCATATTTTCCCTCCTAGTTCAACTTGTTAAAAACACCAGCTCAGGTCAGCGAGGCACTCTAGAGCAGCGGTCGCCAACCTTTCAGACCTCTCAGACCACCAGGTCCGCGGACCACTGGTTGGCGACCCCTGCTCTAGAGACAGGACCCCTCCCAGCACACACAACAGTTGGCCACCAGTGTAGGGCGTTTCATCAGAGCTGCCTCATTCTTTTTAATAGCCGCAGAGAGGCCCAGAGGCCTCCCCTTCTGACCCCACCCCAGGGGACAGACCTAGACAGTCTTTGTGAAAATCCTTTGCCACCATACCTGGCACCCAAGTGTGAGTCCATTTGCAAGATAAATTCCAGGACTCAGGATGCCTTTATGATCAAGATAAATTCCTGAGTCCATCTGCAAGATAAATTCCAGGACTCAGGATGCCTTTATGATGATGCAGCTCTAACTCATCTCTTCCTCACTAAGGGCTACAAGGCCCAGACCCCAGGCCCTAGGCAGGTGATGTCTGTGCTTCTGGACCTGCCAGTATGATGGGAAAGGCCAAGGAGTGGCATGCCCAGAAGGGTGTGTGGACCATGGGCAACCAAGACTTAAATAAATGGAAACACATCCTGTGTTTATGGATCAGAACTTAATTTAACATTTTGTTCAGATGGCAGCACTCTCCAAAATGAGGTAGATTCAACACAGGCCTCCTCAGAATCCCAACCCATCCCCCACAATCTGACAGAAATTGACTAGCATCGTGAAATTCATATGGAAATGCAAGGGAACAGAATAACCAAAACAATTCTGAAAAAGAAGAACAAAATATGAGGACTCACACTTCACAATTTCAAAACTTATCACACAGCTGTGTGTACTGAACAGCGTGGCACTGGCATAAGGACAGACATGTATATCGCTGGCAAAGAGCTGAGAGTCCAGAAATAAACCCTCACATTTATGGTCAATTGAATTTGTCCAAGGGTGCCAAGACAACTCAATGGGGAAAGAATAGTCTTTTCAGCAAATTGGACAACTGGATAGCCACATGCAAAAGAATAGTGTGCTCCTTCCTACTCCCATCCACACAAAAAAATAACTCAAAATTGATCAAAGACCTCGATGTAAAAAACTAAAACGATAAAACTCAGAAAACAGAGGAGTCAGTCTCTGTGACCTTGGATGAGACAATGGTTTCTTAGATGAAACACCAGAAGCACAAGAGACAAAAGAAAAAAATTGATGAATTGGACTTCACTGAAATAAAAAACTTTTGTGCTGCAAATGAGACCATTAATGAGCTGAAAAGGCAACCCACAGAATGGGAGGAAGTATTTGCAAATCATATATCTGATAAAGCAGCGGTTCTCAACCTGTGGGTCGCGACCCCTTTGGCGGTCGAATGACCCTTTCACAGGGGTCGCCTAAGACCACCCTGCATATCAGATATTTACATTATGATTCATAACAGTAGCAATATTACAGTTATGAAGTAGCAACGAAAATAATTTTATGGTTGGGTCACAACATGAGGAACTGTATTTAAAGGGCCAGAAGGTTGAGAACCACTGTGATAAAGGAACGGTATCCAAAATATATAAAGAACCATGAAATCTCAACTATAGCCCAGCGTGCTCAGTGGTTCAAACCGATGAACCAGGAGGTTCCGGTTTGATTCCTTGTCAGGGGTCAGGAGTCAGGGCTCGATCCCCAGTGTGGGGCATGCAAGAGGCAGCCCATCAATGATTCTCTCTCATCATTGATGTTTCTCTCTCTCTCTCCCCTCTCTCTTCCTCTCTGAAATCAGCAAAAATATATTTATAAAAAAAACCACACTCAATGATAAAAAGATGAATAACCCAATTTTAAAATGTGTAAATGATTTAGACATTTCTCTAAGGAAGCTATACAAATGGCCAGTAAAAACAAGAAAAATGCTCAATACTATTAGTCACCAAGGAAATGCAAATTAAAATCACAACAAAATACCATCTGGGATGGTGAGACTCAAAAAAATAATAAATAATTAGTGTTGTTCAGATGTGAAGAAATTTGAACTCCCAGATACTGCAGATGGGAACATAAAATGGTATAGCCAAAGTGGAAAACAGTTTGGTAGTTCCTTAAAATGTTAAATGTGGAGTTACCATAACCCAGCAATGACATTCCCAGGTGAAATTTCACCGAAGAGAAATGAAACATGCCACACAGACACTTTTACACACATGTTCATAGCAGCACTGCTCACAACAGGAGAAAGGTAGAAACAACTGAAGAGTGCCTCAAGTGGGAAAGGAAACACAAATGTGGCCCATCAATACAAGATTATTACTCATCCATAAAAAGGAACAAAGCACGGACACATGCTACATGATCAGTAAAAACACCATGCTGAGAGTTTGGCTGAGAGACTGCAGCGGGAGAGGGAGTGGGGAGTTTGGGGAGGGAGAGTGGGGGGGGGACCCCCTTCTGAGTTCTGGCCTCTCCTGAGGCCCTGAGTTGTGCAGCCACCCCAGTATCCCCCTCCCTCCAAAAAACACACCAAGCTGAAAGAAACCAGACACAAAAGGATACATTGTGAATGATTCCATTAATATGAAATGTCCAGAAGAGGCAAATCCATAAAGACAGAAAGCAGATTAGTGGTTGTCAGGGTAGTGGAGAGAGGACCTAGGTGTGAGAGATGAGGAGATGTGGGGGTAGCTGTCACCTTAGGAGCAGCAGGGATTAAAGGCAGCCTGAGCCAGCTTGGCATGCTCTGGGATGCTGGTGGTGAGTGGTCCAGGGAAAGAGGTGCCAGGCTTGGGGCCACAGTGCCAGGCTCAAAAGAGGCAAGGCTAGAGGAGGCCCATGACAACAGAGGATGAGGGTGGGTACAGGACAGAGCACGGGGTCTTTGCACTTGCTGTTCCATCCATCTGAGGAACTCCTCCTCAGAGAGGTCACTCAGGCCCTTCCTAGCTAAAGCAGGTCTTGGTTAGCCCAGGCCCCACCACTCACTACAACAGGAAATTCAGGCATGACATGACAGTGAATTCAAGACGAGGCCCACAGCCACGCGCACACTCAACAGTTAATGAATGAATGCAAGAGCATAAGCAAAGACCACACCAACGGAAGGGGTATCTTCCTCACACCTCTGCAGCCAGGAAATACTGGGGTGGGTTTGTATGTGTTACAATGAAAGTCATGTAAAAGGGATGTGATTAGGAGACCCAACTCCAGGCAATGGCATTTAGAGCCCGCTGCACTATGAATAGGAAGAGGATTAGTATAAAGGTATAAAGCAGTGGTTCTCAACTTTCCTAATGCCGCGACCCTTTAATACAGTTCCTCATGTTGTGGTGACCCCCAATTTCATTGTTACAAATTGAACATAATTAAAGCATAGCGATTAATCACAAAAACAATATGTAATTATATATGTTTTATAATTGGTCTTAGGTGACCCCTGTGAAAGGGTCGTTCGACCCCCAAAGGGGTCAAGACCCACAGGTTGAGAACCGCTGGTATAAAGGGTGTGTTTATAGGTAAAAAAAAAAGATGCCCAGTGGGGAGGGCCCAAGGAGACCCAAGGGCTGGTCACACAGACCTTATGCAGCACACCTGAGGGGTGCACTGGCCTGGTTGTTATGACTCAGATTCGTTCAATGTGCTCTAGGATGAGTTGAGTGCCCATGTGGTGTCAAATCTATCTTTAACCTATTTTTGTATGGCCCTCCGGCTAAGAACACTTTTAGATTTGTAAACAGCTGTTTTTTTTTTAAAAAAAAGCAGCAGCAGTGGATAGAGACAATCTGGCCAATAAAGCATAAAATATTTATCTGGCTCTTTATAGAAAAAGTTTGCCAACCTCTGTTCTGGGATACATAAAAGCCAAGGGGAGGGGAAGGGCTTGAATTATCAATAGACAACTTTTCTACCGCCTGAATTATTTTTTTTACTATGCCCATGAATTTTTTTATTAAAGCATAATTTGCAGATTTTAAAAAATATTTTTATTGATTTCAGAGAGGAAGGGAGAGAGAGATAGAAACATCAATGATGAGAGATAATCATTGATTGGCTGCCTCCTGCATGCACACACTGGGATGGAGCCCCAACCTGGACACGTGCCCTTGACCAGAATTGAACCTGGGACCCTTCAGTCCACAGGCCAACGGTCTATCCATTGAGACAAACCGGCTAGGGCTATATGCAGATTTTAATGTATTCACAATTGACTTGTTTTAAATTTCTTTGTATTTCTTTGTTAATCCTAGGTGTGAAGTATGGGCATCTTTTACTTTCTCTCTTACGTTCTCCTGTGATGAACCCAACAACAAAATTAAAAAAAAATTTTTTTTATTGATTTCAGAGAGGAAGGGAGAGGGAGAAAGAAATATCAATGATGACAGAGAATCTTTCACCGGCTGCCTCCCGAACGCCCCACACTGGGGACCCAGCCGCAACCCTGGCCTGTGCCCTGACCCGAATCGAACTGTGACCTCCTGGTTAATGGGTCGACTGCTCAACCACTAGTGACACTGGCCAGGCACGAATTTTAAAATGTTACTTAAGAATACATATTCCTGGGACATCCTACGAGTGAGGAGCACCAGCGAGGAACCACCACAAAGAACATCTTTTAAATTCCTTCGGTGTCCCGGGTTTTGACCCCAGCTCTGTTCTGGGCGGCCCTGCGGGTGAGGTCGCAGCCTCTCTCGGGCCTCAGTTTTTCCACCTGTAAAACAGAAGCGTGGCCCAGGGCTAGGGGTTCAGGCTAAACTAACCTCAATTTAACCTACTGTGAAAAGGAAATAATTAACAGGACCGACTTCTGGGCTGTTCGGAGGAGAAATTAAAGGAATTAGTAATCGCTCGACAAATTACAGCAGTTATCGTTACCACGGACGTTAGGTGTACACCCAGACTCCGCCTCTCCTCACACCACAGGTAGACTGAGGCCGGTCAGCCTCCCCAGCGCCCCGCCCCCGCCGCGGCGCTCCGAAGGCCCCGACCCTGACACCACGGCGCAGACGGACACTGACCCGACAGTCCCCGACGCGGAAGGTTCCGTTTGTAGTCGATGGGGCCGTAGCCCCCGGGCGGGGGCATGTCCTGCTTCACCTTCGAGGCCGCCATGGTCGCAGTGCTTTGCGCTTCCGGTCGCGGACGGAAGTGACGTAGCCGGCGGTCGCCGCCATGATGAATGTGGCGGAAGCGGTCGCGCAGGTCCCGGGTGGGGCCAGGGAACCCAGGACGCTAGTGTGGCGATCCTACTGCGCGGGAGAACTCAGGCTACGACGGCCGGCTGCAGCCGAGGAATTCGAATTTCTTCTCCCCGACGAGGCGTGGCTCAGCCGGTGTGGACGGCTGGAGCCTGTGGGGTCGCCCAGGTTCTTGCATCAAAGGACTTCCCTTTCACCTTCCCTCTCTGGGGCGATGCGCAGGGCACTCAAGCTCCGGAGGGAGACAGGTCACCGAGCTAAGCCCCCTTACCCGTTTTTCCCCCCTCTGGGTCTGTGCGGGCAACCCAGGGCTCCACATAGTCAAGGCTTGGTACAAGTAGTTGGGTGGGGGCGGCGGCGGCTCAAATTTGGATTCGCAAGGAGCCACCCACCCCAACCCACCCCTGGCACAGATTCTGCTCCTTGGCGGTGGTCGGGAGCCCTTGGAAGTAGTAGCCTCTCATCAGGAACTGATTATGAGTCATAAAGCCCTAGGGCCTTGGGGGGTCCATCCCGAGGCGGGGTGACGCCCGCGGGGGCCCCCACCCCGAGGTAGGGTGACGCCCGCAGTCACTTCACAAGGCAGAAATTGTTACCTGGGTAATAAAAGGCACCGCGGCAGCGGGAACCCGGGAGTGGGCACATGGGGGTGCGGGTGTGCAGGTGCCAAGCGCCATGGGTTAGGCCCGAGATCGGAGTCCGGCCGCCCCCCGACAGCAGCCGCCTCCTGCTCCCCGTGCGCCCCAGGCGCCACCATGTCGGGCGACAAACTCCTGAGCGAACTCGGCTATAAGCTGGGTCGCACGATAGGTGAGGGCAGTTACTCCAAGGTGAAGGTGGCCACGTCCAAGAAGTACAAGGGAACGGTGGCCATCAAGGTGGTGGACCGGCGGCGCGCACCGCCTGACTTCGTCAACAAGTTCCTGCCCCGCGAGCTGTCCATCCTTCGAGGCGTGCGGCACCCGCATATTGTGCACGTCTTCGAGTTCATCGAGGTGTGCAACGGGAAGCTGTACATCGTGATGGAGGCAGCCGCCACGGATCTGCTCCAGGCGGTGCAGCGCAACGGGCGCATCCCCGGGGGGCAGGCCCGCGACCTCTTCGCACAAATCGCTGGCGCCGTGCGCTACCTGCACGACCACCACCTGGTGCACCGCGACCTCAAGTGCGAAAACGTGCTGCTGAGCCCTGACGAGCGCCGCGTCAAGCTCACCGACTTTGGCTTCGGCCGCCAGGCTCACGGCTACCCTGACCTGAGCACCACCTACTGCGGCTCAGCAGCCTACGCATCGCCGGAGGTTCTCCTGGGCATCCCCTATGACCCCAAGAAGTACGACGTGTGGAGCCTAGGCGTCGTGCTCTACGTCATGGTCACCGGGTGCATGCCCTTCGATGACTCAGACATCGCTGGCCTGCCCCGGCGCCAGAAGCGCGGCGTCCTCTACCCCGACGGCCTCGAGCTGTCCGAGCGCTGCAAGTCACTGATCACTGAATTGCTGCAGTTCAGCCCGTCGGCCAGACCCTCGGCGGGCCAGATAGCGCGCAACGGCTGGCTGCGCAACGGGGACTCCGGCTAAACCCGGAATTCCCACATACCCGCCGCCCCTAGCACTGCGCAAGCGCGGCCACACGCGAGAAGCGCGCTTCCAGAGTCCCGCGAAGCCGCCGCGCACCAATGCGCATGCGTCCTTTCCCCTTTCCTTCTTTCTCCACGGCGGGGGCCACAGTTGCCCCTGTTTGGAATCTAGTTCCTCCTCCACGAACCGGAGAGCGCATGCGCGTCCTCGATTCCCCTGCAAGAAGGCCCCGGGAGGGGGCGAGACCAGAGGATGCTGAAGCATTGCGCCTGCGCGGACTGAGCGACTGCTCTGCGGTTGGAGGAGGCTGCCAGGTAGAGCTGCCCACTAGGGGACGCACGCTGAGTGCATCCGTTCCCAGCCTGCCGCGCAGGCCGCCGCGGGACGGCGCGCCCCGGGGCGCCACCCGCGTTGTAATTTGCAATAAACTCGCTCTACCTCGCACCTGGCTCTACTAGCAATGCCGCCCTTTTACAGAGCGGGGAGAGCGGGTCGCTCCCCGGAAGGTGGGCGCGGGCGCCCCTTTTTAGAGAAAAGTTGATTAAGGTTCTTGCTCCAGTTCTCAAAAGGGAGTTGTGGGATTCGTACCCGTACATTTGGGGCTCCCCCAGCCTGGGAAGAGTCGAAGGGACTTTGAGGTCGTTCCCAGGGTCGTGATGGTCCTGGGAATAGAGATGTTGGGCTAGGGAGCAAAGACCCAGCACCCTTCTTATGTTTTAAGAAGGAATGGCGTGGGTAGGTGGGGAGACCCTGTCTCGAAATCAACTGAGCATTTACAGATAAGGAAATTGATGTCACTGCCCATGAACACAGCTGGGATTTGAACCCAGATTTAGCTTAAGTAGGATAGGGAGGTGGTGGAAGCTCTCCGTGAGGGCCCCTTTCTTAGTGAGGGTAAGAGTCTGGAGGGAAAGTCAAGGGTGGGGCATAAGTCCACTGGACCAGCTGATTTGTTCAATTCTCTTAATTCATGCACTTATTGAACTCCTTCTGTATACCAAGCTTTGGGACTCAAGAAAGAAGCTTAGATCCATCCCTGCCCTCAGTGAAGAGGCAAAAAGTCAAGTAAAAAAATTGCATGGAAATCTCTTAAAAATTATAAGTTGTGCTAAATGCTGGGGGCGGGGGGTGGGGTGGAGGATGCCTGAGGGTTTGAAGGAGATATGTGAACTGAACCCTGAAGGAATCAGACACTGGAAATAGTGGAGTGTTTCATGAGTTCCCAAAAAGGATGGAGCTGGTGTGTTTGAGTAATGCCAGGAAGCCCCTGTGGCTGGAATGGAGAGGAGGTGGAGAGGTAAAGGTGTATGTCTGGAGAGGGGACCCCATATGGCCTGGGGGAGTTTGAGGGTTATTTTGTTATGAAGTTACTGGTATGGGAAACATCTCCCTAAACCAGTGATGGCGAACCTTTTGATCTCGGCGTGTCAGCATTTTGAAAAACCCTAACTTAACTCTGGTGCCGTGTCACATATAGAAATTTTTTGATATTTGAAACCATAGTAAAACAAAGACATATTTTTGATATTTATTTTATATATTTAAATGCCATTTAACAAAGAAAAATCAACCAAAAAAATGAGTTTGCGTGTCACCTCTGACACGCGTGTCATAGGTTCGCCATCACTGCCCTAAACCTTAATCCTGCCTGCTTCCATCTGAAGCCCATGACCAGTTTAAGGAGACTATGCCCCAACCCTGCTCATTCACTCTCCATGGCTCTCAGGTGCCCTGGGGATTAAGTGCCAGCTCTCCTCTCACCCCCTTGAAATAGGCTGTGATCCCAACCCCTCGTTTTGCAGATGAGGAAACAGGCTAAGAGAGGGGAAGTGCCTTGCCTCCATCTGGCTTTTTCACATCTGAATTGAGACAGAAAAACCAACGTTTTGGTTTACACTAGAAGGGTGCCTTTCCTTACCTGGACCATATCTCAGGCTCTGCACCTGGAAAATGGGGGCAGAAACACATCCTTGGGGTTGTTGGAAAGGGCCGTGGTTTACTGGAGGACTGCACCTCAATCCTTCTCAAAGCTCCCACTTCACTCAGAATAAAACCCACATCCTCACCCATCTTCCTCACTGACCAGCCACACTGCCTTTTTCATCCTCCACCTGCCAGGCTTGGTCACACCTCTGAGACTTTTCACTGGCTGTTCCCACTCGCAGCAATACTTTCCCCCTTTTCATTCAAGACTTGGCCTACAAGTTCACCTCCTTCTTGTCATTCCATTCTTTTCCCTCTTTGCCAGTTATAGGTTCAATCCCATTGCCTGGGGTGTGGTACATGCCTTTTTCTGTTCCTCACTGATGAATCTGCATGAGCAATGGGCCAAGGTATTCTTCCACCCCATGGCCATAGAGCCAGCTTAGTTTAGAAGGGACAAAATCTCAGGGAACCCGGTGGGTGTACCATTTGTTAGCTGGAGAAACAGATTCACCCCTGGGTCCGCTGAGGAGCCTGTGGCTGATCCAGCAGACTCACTTGAGGGCTGAGTGCAGAGCCCCTAAGAAAGCACTTCATAAGTGCATTTCCCGCAGCCAGTATTAGAGCATGGGGCATCAGTAAGGATGTCACAGGTAGACTGTCTAGGTTTGGGTTTAATTTCTGTTACCAGTCATGCCTGCCCAGGTGAAACTGAGCTGGCTGTTGGGGAGGGCAATTAGCACCCACCACCAGAGGCAGGGATGCTTCAACAACAAAAACAAGAACCAGCAAAAAAAAAAAAAGCACCTTGGAAAACACTGGTAACAGATTACCCAAGTGATCACAGGTCTCAGATAGTATGAAAAACTTCAAACAGTGTCAACCTCTAAAAACAAATTTTCACAAGCAATTGTTCATTTCAGGGCCTGGCTGGGTGGCTCCATCTGTACTTAAAACCTGCATCTCTAACACTGTGTCCTGCAGCAAAGACTAAGTGGAGCCAAGCCTGAAAAGCACTCTGGAAAAACCACTCAGGGTGGAAACTGGAAGGGGCTAAGAGCCAGCCCAAAGGGAAAAACCCATTGGAGTCTCAGCCACTCCCCCAGGCCACAAAGCTCCTGGTTTTGGTGGAGATGGAGGCTCAGAGGTGAGAGCACAGTGCCCAGTTGGGGAGGACTCCCCCCACATGGGAAGTGAAGTCCGAAGGAAGCCCAAGAAGCAGATTTCTTATCCTCTGCTTCCACCTTAACAAAGGGTCACTCTGCTGCACTTACCCAGTTTCTAACCTGCCCCATACATGGACTAAACAAAGCAGGAAAACCAGAGCCAAGGGACAAAAGAAAAATATAGCCAACACATCATTTATTTATTGTGCTTCAGATCTAAAACTTCCTTGTGACATCATGTATAGCCATTTATTCCAGCCTCTGTTTATGGAACTTCTATTCTCGTTTGGTGGTCAACTTTTTGGTTTTACATTATCATCAAAGATTTAGTCAAAGTAAATAGA